GCTTTGTGGAAGTCAGAAAACAGCTTATTCTTTGAGTGGGGCAGGAGATGCTTTAAGAATAAGCTGAAAATCAGCTTAAGCTGAAAATTATAAACTATAAGCAGTTTAGGCATAAGCTATAAGCACTTTCCCACAGCTCTACCAAACGGGGCTTTTGTGTTGTTCAAAATTTTATGAGATGACTTACATGGATTTATGTTACTTATACATTTTTGTGAGATCATTTACGTGATTTCATGAAAACTTACGTTATTTTGTATTTCTCAAAATTTTTATAAGATCACTTATGGAAAATTTGTGTTAACTTACGTGTTTTTATGAGAGCACTTGTGTGATTTTGTGAAAACTTATGTGATTTTGTGTTGTTCAGAATTTATGAGATGATTTACTTGAATTTGTGTTCTTACGTATTTTTGTGAGATCGCTTATGTAATTTTCGTAAAAACTTACACGATTTTGTGTTCCTCAAAATTTTTATGAGATCACTTAAAGAAAATTTGAGTTAACTTATGCATTTTTTGGAGCACTTACGTAAGTTTGTTAAAAGCTTACATGATTTTGGATTGTTCAAAATTTTATGAGATGACTTATTCGAATTTTTATTAATTCTGTATTTTTATGAGATTTTTTATGTATGTATAATAAAATCTATTATTTTAATATAATTCACCTATAAATTGACATGTTTAACCGATCAACAAGGCATAACCATAAACACAAAAATATGTAAGTGAATCTAAGAAAATGCATTATACAACACATCGAAGAATTGTCCATAACTTCTTACCATTCCCTTCTCTCTCTTTTCTATTGTTGACTTGATTGGGTCCTGGAGCGGTCAGTTATTATAAATAATAGCTTGTTTGGTTTTAGTTTTCAGAAAATAATTTTTAGAAAATTTTACATTTTTATTTTCCGTATCTTAATATTTTCAAAGAATTTTTTTAGTATTTAAGCAATTTTTTTTAATTTTTAGCACACCTAACATAAATACACTTAAAAAGTATAATATTTTTCAAAAAAATCTTTAAAAAATGTCATAAATACCAAAAATACAAAAAAAATTACGAAAAATCAATACATTTTTCATATTTTTGTGTATTTATTAATTTTTAAAATATTTTTTCATGACAAATAAAAAAGTAAAAAAAATTCTTAAAATTTAAAAAATATTTACTAAAAACAAAAAACAAAACACAAAAAACAAAAACTTCAATTTTTAAAAAACTGAAGCCAAACATTCTATATCCCAAGTATGAACTTGTATGTGATTATGATATGCCTATATTTATACTTCATCAATTGGTTTCCGTGTAACAATCAAATTTTACTAATAAATCATTAGGATTTTTTTTTTAAGATCCCTCGTATTAAGATTTTATAACATGAAGGACATTTAATATTTTCATAATGTCTAAGGTCTCTCTAGTTGATCCAGAGAAAATTGGTCTAGAGAAAATTAGTTCAGAGAAATTTTATCCAGAGAAATTCTGGACCAGAGAAATTCTGGACTTCTAAAGAATTTCTCTGGGTTCAACCCAAAGAAAATTCAAATTTCTCTAGGTTCAGTTTGACCAATTTTCAAACCAGAGAAAATTGATAAATTCTGTACTTCCCAAGCCCAGAGAAAATTGACTTCACCAATTTTACTCAATTAAAGGCAGAAAAAATTAAACAAATTTCTCTGCCCTCCCTGCCTCGCACAACACCAGATGCTTATTTTAACAAAACCAGCTCATTCCTTGTTTTCCATAAAATTCACAAGATTGCCATGGGCATTGCTTCCCAAATTAATTTCTTCACCTGTTTGAATTTGCAGCGTTACCACCATGGGTTTGCTTACATGGTCCAGAGAAATTCTTTAGTTTAGACTAAATTTTCATTGGTTTGAACTGAATTTTCTCTGGGTTGGTCTAGAGAAATTCTCTAGTTTGGTTGGTTTGAATTTTCTCTGGGTTGGTTCAGAGAAATTCTCTGATTTGGACTGAATTTTCTCTAGGTTGGTCTAGAAAAATTCTCTGGTTTGATCCATAGGAGAAATTTAAACAACCAAAGATATATACCTATCAAAATATATAATTATACACTACATCAGTTTATACACATACACATACAAGTGTATATATATACACACATACAACTGTATATATATATATATACACTCTGACGATAACCCATCTAAGATTGCAAACAGAATTTAACTTTTTTAAAGCCCTAATTGTTTTTCCATATATTCAATGAAATTTGAGAAGCTGATGCATACTTACCTTGATTGAATTATTCATGAGATTTGTGATGATTTGCCGAAATTTACCTGGATCTCCAATCAGCATCTTGGGAACTTTATCAGAGATGAAAACTGCAAGCTGCTCAACCAATTAAATTAGACGTGAGACCATTTAATTTCATAAAACAGGAACAAAAATTCGGAGAAAACAATGAAAAGCAAGATGTATTGACTACCTCTACTCCTTTTTCTTGAGACTTTCCAGAAAAAAGCAACAACACATCATCCAAAATTGCTCACAGATCAAATTGAACTGCTTTAAGCTCGAGTTTACCAGACTCGATCTTCGCTTGATCCGTCGATGCGATTCAATGAGTGTGTTGTAATTTTATCAATGATCGATCAGCAGATGACCGATCGGTTGACTGGTCGTTGGATACCAACCCAGCTGCCATTGATGTAGAAGAGAGAGAGAGAGACACAAACTTAGTGGAGGTAAAGTGATGAGATCGGGGGGAGAGAGAGAGAGAGGTGGGAATTTCTCTGTGATATATGGGTGTGGGAGTTGAGGGACCTTAGACATTATAAAATAAAATTGTGGAGCTATTCCATTACTAAATATGGGAGAGGGACCTTAGACTAATTTTTCCTAAATCATTCTATTACCAACAAAAACCAATATGGATGAGAACCTATTTAAATATATTTGGAAAAATCACCAAAGTATATCTCACATCCAGTTAAACAGTTGAAAGAAAATGATAAATTATAATTACACTTATAAGATTTGCTTAAAATATAATTTGTGTTTTGTAATTCTAAAAATTACTTACCGACCCACCCCTTGAGATTTCTAATTTTACAACAAATGACTTTTTTTATTAATAAATTATCAAATCAGTTAATAATTTTTAATGATATCAAAATTTTATTTTAACTAATAATTTGAGTAATCTTATCATCGTATAAGAGAGCAGATACGAATTTCATTTTTTCTAATAATTTTGTTAAATAAAAAACTATGACAAGAGAATATCTGTAATTTTTTAAATTACATACAAAAAGAATCCATATTTTAATAAAATCTGATAGCACGCGTGGTTGCATTGCATTTCACTGGTAGGTGCTAGGAGGAGACCAAGTAAACCAATCTCCATTAATTAATTAATTAATTTATATTTTACTAATGAAATTAAAACCAAAAGTCAAGGGAGTTTTCTGGGGGAATTTCCTCATCTTGAGAGCTAGCATATATATATAATATATATATTATATAACTTTCTGCATAATATAAAAATCCCATCTCTACTTTCCAACTTCTAATCTCATAAGCAGCATACACACCAAAAAAATCTTTCATTTATGATCACCAATTTTGGCTGATTTCTTAGTGCTTTCTTGCTTGCTAAAGGCTTGAAATGGGAAACAAGCAATCCATACCTTACTCTTTTCAGTACAACTGACTTTCATCTTCTTCCCCCCACACCGACAACAACAACAACCAACAACAACCTCTTCTTCACAATCACAAGAGCCACGACGAGGAGGTGTGTGTTTCTTGTTCAACAAGTCTTTGTTTATTTATTCGTATCCTTGTTGTGTTTATTTATTTATTACATACATGTATAGTGCATGGAGCAACTGAAGTCTGACGCTGAAGCTAATCGGAAAAAGAATGAATCCCTGGAAAAAAGGAATGCGGCTTTGGAGAGACAAGTTTGCGAGCTAAGAGATACTATTTACAAACTACAATCCAGAGTTCCTCCTATTGTTGAAACCAAACGTTGCTGCTCTCAAGAATCAAATTCATGAATTGAAGTCTGCCGTGTCCAGACTAGAATCCAGCTTCCATCATCTCACTCCGGTGACGATCTCCTTCCCCTCCTTGATAAACTCTGTTACCTTCATGCTTAAATTAGTCTAATTAAGCTATATAGGATAAATTGCACTATTCACTCTTATAATTTTACTTCTTGTTATTTTAATTTGAATAATTTTATTCTTATACTTTAAGTTCAATTTTAATTTATTTTTTTAGTTCAAGTTAAGTTAGCAATTTTGAAATACATATCAGCCTCATGTGACCTACACGTAGAACTTTTTTAATCGAATTTGAGAGAAGGAAGTATCAAATTGAAACTATACTTAAAATTGTATGAAAAAATGTTCAGATTAAAACAATAGATCAAAGTGAAATTTAAAGTCAAACTAGAGTGATAAAATGTGTAATTTGTCCTATATATGTGGAAAAAAATGATTTCATGATGGGCCTAATTAATTTATTTTATTTTTTTTATTTTTGTGTTATATATGCATAACAGGTGGGCACTAGTACTGAAATGGGATCAGATGCTGTCCTAAAGAAAGAGGTCGATAGACTGGAACATCGGGTTATGCAACTAGAACTTGACTCTTTGATGGGTGTTGTGAGTAGTTGTTGATCCCCTATTTATTAGCAAAAACTTTTCCTTTTTTTTTTTTTTTTATGTTATCTACTTACTTGGATTCCGATTTTTGTGTGTTTGTTGTATGATGAATGATTCCAGAGGAAACAAGAAATGGAAAAAATTGTAGAAAAGAATGCAGAATTGGCGAACCGACTTGCACAACTAACCACTACTGTTGATCAACTCAAGTCTTTATCTTCTCATGTAAGCAAATGGTTATCTTTGTGCTTGTGTTTGATTATGATCCTTTTTTCACTCACTCTCTCTCTCTCTCCCTCTCTCTCTCTCTCTCTCTCTCTCCTTTTTTGCTTGATATTGTGAAACAGGAAACTGGCTTGACCACTCCCACGGAAGCAGATCATGGAATCCAAGGCCACGAGAGAAATGATCTTGTTAGCTGCCTCATAGTTTTGATTTTTTTGGTTTCTGTACTCATTGGTGTTAATATCTAAGAAGTATAGCGGCTCAACATTAATAAAAATAAAGTCTCGTCTTATGTGCCTTTGAAGAATTGGATCATCGACAATATGAATTTTTTGTTTAATTTTCTAAGTTAGCCTTAGATGATGGACTTAATTGCATAAAGATTAGCCACCTCTATCAATAAGAAGTTTTACTGTTCAGAAAATGAAAGAAAAATGTCAATCCAGTTTGATTTAAAATAATTAAAAAAAAAGGAAATACTAAAAATAGAAAATGCTACATTGTCTAATTTATCTCCTCCAATGATGTGACATTGAGATTATACCTTATATGATGAAATGTTTGATAAATCAAAATTTGACACTACTTAAACATATCATTTAGAGTGGTTTTTAAGAGTGTAAAAAATAGGTGTCAAGCATTTTTCAATGGAAAATTCTACCGGTAATTCTTATATTTTGGATTAGTTTGGGAAGTTAGGTTTATAATCAAAAAGTCAAAAAGCCACTAAGTTATCACATTACTCTCTTTATTTTTTGTTATTTTGTAAAACTCAAAACAACTAACTAAAATAGTCAACTTTCAAACGAGTGGGCTTTATTTCATTATGGTCACTGTGATTTTAAATAATTCATTTTAACCTTAAATTTATTATTTTATTTTAATTTGATCTAATTGATTACAATTGTCATTATTTTTTTTTATAAAAATATGCTCATGAATGTTATATATTTGTTTTTAGAGGAAAGTAAACTTGTTCAACTGAAAGAGTTAACCTTAACCAATTCACTGATTTTTTTTTTTAATAGTAAATTACAAAGATACCTCCTGAAGTTTGCTTAAAACATAATTTGTATCCTGTTGCTCTAAAAATTACATCTCATCCCTTCAAGATTTTAATTTTATAACAAATAACCTCTTTTGTTAATAAATCATCAAGTCAGTTAACAGTTTTTAATGATATTATAAATTTATTTCAATAAATAATTCATGTAATTTTATTATTATATAGAAGAACAGTTAGGAATTTAATTTTGAGAAAATAGTTGAAAAGTTCAATCTAGCAATTGCATAAGGCATTAGGTCCAATAGATATTTTTTATTTGTGAGAGGACCACCCTTTGTAAAATAGTTTGGTAATAAGTTCTTTTATTATTTTGGAGGATGATTTATTTCTAATATTACCCCTTGCTTACCTATTGCTTTTTTTATACTATCTATTCAAACACTTTGTTTAATTTTTTTACTATCTGTTCAATTTTTTCTCTTAACTGGCCAAATTTTATTATCTGTTAAAATTACTTGTTCAAAAATCTATCTGTTGAAATTCTACATGTTCAAATTATTTTTTCAAAAAATCTATCTGTTGAAATTATTTGAAAAAAAATCTATTTGTTACCATATATCTGTTCAAATTCTTTTATCTCACTTCCCACTATTTGTACAAATAAAATTCAAATTCAACAACAACAACAACAACGAATAGCCACTATCTATTCACACACACACACACACACATATAGAGAGAGAGAGAGAGAGAGAGAGAGAGAGGAAATATAGATCTATAAACAACAAAAAAAAACAATAATAAAAAAAGAAAAAATAGAAGAAACAGAGAAGAGAAGAGAGGGAGAAAGAGAGACAGAAAGAAAAAAACAAAAAAACACATAGAGATAAAATTTAAAAAAAAAAATTGAATTAATCCATTAAAAAATTGCTTTACTTTTTGGGCGCTCGGGTGATAAATCCACTTTTGAACTTTTTTTGCCCAGAGATCCAGGCACTAGTGTACATTGTCCAAAAATACAAGCTTAAACAAAATGATGGAACTACCCCTTACGTGTTTTATTGATCTCAACTTATATCTCTCTATCTCACTCTGATTTCATATTTCTCTTTCTCTCTCTCCCCTCGGATCTGATCGTCAGTGTACCACCATCTCCGCCTCTACTCCATTGTTGCCTCCACTCCACCATCCAGCCACCACCAGTGTCTTTTCTCTCCCCGTCTCTCTTTTTCTTCTCATATCTACGATAACGACATCTACGGCGGCGACTTAGCAGCCCACTATGACTCTCCTGGTCCGGCAGCGCGACCAACGACGCTGGAGGTGTTGCTAGGACGTGTGACACAACCTTCTCTCTCTCTTTCTCTATCTCTCTCTCTCTCTCTCGCCAACAACTAACCACCATCTCCCTCTGCTAGTACCTCTTTTTCTCTCTTCGAAACACCCACCGCACTACCTCTATTCCCAAAACCCCCACCACCTCCTTAGATCAGGATTCTCATTCGAAGGACAACAATTGAAAACTCTATCTTCGATCACTCTCTCAGATTTGTTATCTCTGTCAATCTCATCCACTCTCCAATGAGTCTCTTGAAACTTGAGTTCTGTCTGGCTTCTTTAGGCTTTTGAATTGAATGAATTAAGTGTCAAAAACTAGCTCTACGAATTAGCAATTGTTGTTGCTCCTTGAGCCTGAACTGCTCATGTGATTAATGAATGAACTGTTTTATTATTGTTACTTTTTTTTTATTGACAAAAGAAATCTATATTGATGAAATGAAGATTACATCAATAAAGAGGAGCTTGGAGCTAACAAAAGCTCCAAGCTCCAGGTAGTGAGAAACCAATAGAGCACAGCAAAAAACAACAAGCCAAACAACAAAACAAAACAGAAAAAACAGAACCAGAGAAGCACTAAAAGCGGTGTTGCCTCCATAGCTAAACAGAGCAGCTGGAGCTTCCACAAAACACACCTCAAACACCTCGAACAAACAACCTAATCTGATGCAAATTAGAGACAAAATCATGGGCAGAATAATCAACCTGCAATACCCATTTGGTCCACAAAGCAATAAGCACCTTAATTCTTTCACATAAGTCTTCAACAGCAGGTAGAGCCCTCTTGAATATACAATCATTTCTTAATTTTCACACATACCAGAGAACCACAGACGGAACTACCTGCCAAATTCTAGATTCCCTTGACTTGAACTTACCTCCAGACCACCAATGTAGCAGCCCTTGAATTGATCCAGGTATAACCCATACCAGATCCTACCACCTTATCATTATTAACCAGCACTCCCAGATCAGAGGACAAAAAAGTAACACATGTTCCAGAGTTTCCTCCTCAGCATTGCAGAACATACAAGAAGAACTAGCAGTAGCAACTAAGACCCAAATCCTTTTTAGGAAAGATAAAGTCTTCACCCTACCCCTCTAAGCCAGCCAACAAAAGAATTACATTTTTTTGGGAGCAGAATTTACCTATAACCCTCTATAACCCTACAAGAACATTCAAACCAGGTCCTTTTGTTGCTACCCACCACTTCCACACAGAGAACATTGAAAACTGACCTGAGTTGTTAGCTAACCATGGGCAAGAATCTTCAATATCAGACTTGATTGTAGGGGATGATGCCAGTAGCTTTAACAATCTCTGCAACTCATCTTCTTCCTAAGCAAATAGCCTTCTTCTGAATTGCAGCTACCACATCCCTACATTGCTCTTCTTAGCACTGATTTGATGCAGAGTTTCCTCTTTCTCAGTAGATAAGTGATATAATCTGGGGAACTCAACCTTCAACCCTATGCTACATACCCAACCATCAGACCAGAAATGTATTCTCCTCCCATTACCAACAGATACTTTAAAATGGTCATCATAAAATTTTCCCAGATGCTGGTTGATTGAAGGCAACTTCACAATATCTTGTCAAATATTAGACATGCCACTTGTGTGAGCCACAAATGGCATCCAACCCCACTAATTCTGTCATACCTAGAGCACAACACAGATTTTCACAAAGCCTTGTCTTCATTTCCATACCTCTACCACCACTTTAACAACAAACAATCATTCACATCTCCTAAGTCTCTCACACCTAAACCTCCTTGCCATTTACTTTTGGTTACCTCCCTTCATTGGACCAAGTGCACTTTCTTCTTATTTTATGACCCTCTCCACAGAAAAGATGACTGCAGTTTCACTACATTCTTTACAACCCCCTTAGGCATCCTGAACAATGAAAGGAAATAGATGGGAAAATTTGAGAGAACAGATTTAATCAAAGACAATCTACCCGCGAAAGATAACAACTTCCTCTTCTAGAAGGACAGCTTCTTCTTCACCTTTTCTATTACTGGAACCCAATTACTCTTCCTTCTTGGATTGGCCCCTGAAGGCAGACCTAAGAAGTTAAAAGGCAATTTCTTAGTCAGACAGTTCAAGGTCTGAGCAAACCCCTTAGTTTGGTCCTTATTATTGTTACTTAATTTGATAAACTTTAGTATTTTGCAAGATATATTTTGTGATAAATGAACTATTTCATTACTGTTCTTAATGGTGTCGTATTTGTGCATGTGATATTGTGATATTGTAGGGAAAGGGAAATAAATGATAAAGATGTGATATTCAAAGTTAGATATGAGGCTCGGTTATGTTAAAATAAATAAATATCTATTTTAATTTTTTTATCTCAGATTTGAATTTTTGTTTTTGTTGTTCCTATATTTGTTTAAATCTGTTTTTGTTTTTGTTTTTGTTTTTGTTTTTGTTTATCTTGTAAAGAATATGATATTGAACAGATAATATGATAGTATCTATTCAAAATTTGAATAGACAATTCTATGTATGTGGCTGTGTGTTTGAAAATAAATATTTTCAACAAATAATACTTTGTCCATTATTGCATGAATCTAGTTCTTGGTTTGAAATCAATTTCAATAGATAAAAAATTTACATATAAAATAGGCTCTGTAAAATTAAACAATCTTGAGCAGATAGAAAAAAATTTGTAACAGATAAAAATTGAACAGATAAATAAAAAAAATTTAAACAAATAAAAAAATGAACAGATAGCAAATAATTTGAACAGATAATTGAAAAGATTAAAAAATTAAACAGATAGGGTAAAAACATTGAACAGATAAGAAAAAACCAAATCGATAGAAGAAAAAAAATTTGAACAGATAGGAAATTTTTTTTGAACAGATAGTCAACGAAAGTCAACAGATAAAGAAAAGTCAAAAAGGGTAAAATTGAAAACAAAATGTCCTTCAAAACCAATAAAAGGGGG